AAGTCCTGAGAACATGCAGAAAAATGTACTGAGTAGCTGCTGACTCTGCACGCCACGTAGCCTGTGTCTATGTGTGGTAGAGTCCTGTGGTAGAAGGCAGTTAAAGACTGCATCCTAATCCACAGAACAAATAAAGACTGTATAAGCAACCCAAATATTTTTGTTTCCTAAATGTTAAGAATGTTGTTTTGCTATCTCAGTAGTTTTTGAGACATATGTTCATAGGTATTTTAAGTGTGAATAAATACATGCAGACTCTGTATACATAGAAATGCATTATAAAGGTATGGAGAGAGGTGAGAGCAGTAACTTTCATTTAGATCTTTTAAGCTGCAGCATGAGGTCAATTATTAATCAGCATTCAAGAATAAGATCCAGCTAAACAGGGAAGAACTGTATTCCATTTAGTCTATCAACAAATTGCACTAGACCACCAATCTATCTATTGATATCTATCAATATCTATTTCCCATTCAGATTTGTTTTAAAAACTTATCTGAAATCTACCTTTTATTGCTATCCTTCACTTCTTTTTCCAAAATAATGCATGCAGAAGAAAATCAAAGAAAAAAACCAACATAATTCAAGGAAACGTTAAAAAGGGTAGGGAGTACAAGAACTATTTGTTATCATTATCCATCAGTAATATTCTGTCTTGTCACTCATGAAATCACTCCGCATTACTGTAAAACAAACACGTTTCCTGAGTTTTAAAGGAAATCAAGAAAGGGATGCGAAAGAAATAATGAGGAAGAACTTTGCACAAGGAAGGGAAATTTAATAAACACTTTTTTTTTTTTCCTTACCCTGGATCTTTTTACTGCAGGCATTCAGGATTGGAATGGAACAATACTTCATTGCAACAAGACCCAAAAACACACGGTGAGCATTCGGGTAAGTCATGTGGTCTATCTCTCTCCAAACTGCCATCTAAAGTGAATTAGAATTTATTAAATTCTTCATTCTCTACATACACTACCGTTGTTTTATTATGAGAAACTTTTCACCAAAACTTTTCCAAATTTCTTAACCTGTTCAGACTTACAAGTAAGAAAAAGGAGCAACAGAAAGCAAAAGCATAAAGTAAGCTCTTTCAGTTTCTCAAAACACAATTAGAACAGATCAAGTGTTCTAGAACTGTCACTTAGCAAGTTCACAGCAATTTGCTTTTACGTGGATTTTTTACAAGAAGTCTCAGTAAAACTTATTTCCTAATGCTGTGAATATATACATTACGCTAACTCTTAAAAAAAGAAACAGAAATATAATTAACATAGTTGACATTTAAATTATTGCAATTACTAGTTTGGATGTGTTTGAGAGCTGTAAGCCTTCAACAGGTTCCAACTCCATACTGAGTAGAATATTTTTAATACAAACATCCAACCTGAAATGCGCACTGAGGCACAGAAGCTCTGATACCACAGAATAGACTTCATTTATAGAAGTAGCAATTAGACTAATAGAAGTGACAGCAAAAATGAGTCTAGCTTTATTGGATATTAAAAAAAGCAATATTCATACATATTAAAAAAATACAATATTCATGTGTATCAACAGGTAAATACAAAATGCACCTACAATAGAAATTATACAGTTTTATGTCAGTGTTCCAACTACAGGTTAGTAAAGGGAATCAGGGAACAGCCTACACATTCTTCTGTGAAATACTACGTGGCCAACCCAGAGGCAAGGGAACAACTATTTTACTGTCTCAACTCCTTTTGTGCAATTTCCATTGCTTTCTGTCCCATTTCATGGGGTAATTCCTCCAGCTTCAAACGTAAGATCTTTTTACAGATATAGTTGGACCATGATTCATACACCAAAACCTTTGTGTAATTTCTTTGTGCACCTGGAAAGAACCATACACAATTTACAAAACAAAGCAAAAGCACAGGCTTTGTGGAAGTAAAAATGAACCTCCAGACAAGTTTACCTCTAATTTCTTTTTCAGAAAGACTGGAGCATCCTTTCCCATACATTTCATCAAGTTTTGCAGTATGAAGATATCTCTGATGCTTGGGAGTCGCTGCTCTACTAGTAATCTGAGGAAGAAAGAAATGCAAGGCCTTGAGACAGTTCTCTCATTTCAGCAAAAGCAGGTAGGTTCCCCCATTTTTTTTCATTAGCATATTGCCAAGTTAAAGCAGTAATTCCTTCCTCCTCTTACATCACTTATTTGCAAGGCCAGCACAATTTTACATGATGTAGCTGTGGCTCAGTTGGAAATGATTACATTGTTACAGTGATATGTTTCTTTTGAATGCTTCCTGATACCTAAGTGCTGTCCCTCACAAACTCTGAATATCAGAAACACCTTCCTTGCTACTACAGGTGACTGCAAATGTGAGTGCAGTTAAGCATCGAGGAATTAACACTTCTGTAGAGAACAATATATGTTTTATAACAATGACAACAACCTTGCGCAAAAAAAAAGGGCAAGCTGTTCTGTGAGCTGCAGAGACAGAAGGAGATATCATAGCACATAAGTGCATGATGAAGGCGTTCTGTTTTCCCAGCACTGCCTTTTCTGGCTCAGATACTGTAACTGTTACAGATACTGTAACTGGTGTCTCTGATTCACTCTTAATCATATCTATGCAACTACCAAAGTACAAAGTGTCACTGTCTAAGGCAGTGCATTGCTCTGAAATTCATTGCTGCAGATGCTGTTCCCTCAAATGGACAGAAGAATAGCCTATAGGTGGATCTCCTGCTTTCTACCTACAAGAACCATGTACCTGAGCTCACAGGAAAGCCTGCTTTTTGTGTGTCACTAACACATCCACCTTTTCAGGGCAGGTCCTGACTCAGGACCAAAAGAACTAAACTAGTGCAAGCTCTGTGCTAGCCTCAGTAAAAAGAATCTCATATGAGTCAGCAGATTGGATATCCATACAAATCTCATTGGCCTAGGGAAAATCATTGAAGTCAAAGAAGTTATTCTGATAAAGCACTCACCTGAATGCTTTGCTGCATTCACAGATAGATAAAACGAAAACTTGTTTTCATTTTAATTCTTCCTTACTAAATTAAAAAGAAATAGGGCCTGGCTGTTCTCATCACGAAAAATCAAAATACTTTATAATTTAAGCTAGACTCATCACCTCTTTCTTACAGGTTAAATATGTCTTTTACGCACACACATTCCCTCCATGATTTTTAAGACACATATATTCAAACAATATTTAAATACTAATAACACATGTAAGGTAATTTCCTCACTGTAATCCAGCTTGAAGAGCGCTCACATTCTTGTCTTCATCCATCCTGGCTAACGTAGTGGCCAGAACTGACATACAGCGGTTATCCAGTTGATTGAGCTTCTCCTGTTAAAGAGTTTTCACAGTGCTAGATTACCTCAGACCAGTAAAAATTTCCGAAAAGAAAACCTCTTACTTTGTACCCATCATCCTGTCTTCCCATTAGAAGTCAGGTCATAAGCTTAAGTCTCCACTGACCTCCACAGTCTCCAAGTTCATTTGAAAAGGGTAACGATTTTTCAGACTTCTCAGTTACGTGTGAAATCAGGCAGCGGTTTGAAAAATGAAAGAAACCAGATGTGCATACTGATTAACTAAGGGAGCCCCGTTTCCTCCGAACATCAGAGTAAACCAGAGATGTAACCCAAACCTCTCTGATGCTGTACAGACTCAAAAAACCAACCCTGATATTTCAGCCCAAACTTCCGTGAGGGATTTTGAAACTTACTTGGCACACCCTCAACAAAGTCTGCACTAAGAGAGTATTCTGAGGAACACCGAGGTTCACCAGAGCATGCAGACTGAACACCAGGTCGCCCCGTGTCATCCTCCTGGAGTGCTGCAGCAGCTGCTGACAAAGCCTGACGAAGGCCGGGTGCTCAAAGATGAGCCGCTTCTCGTAGCGCCGCTGGTCTTCTGACATCTTTCTCAAGAGTTTCCACATGGTAGTTAAACAGTTGGTGAACTGCTTGATGGAGAAAGCAGACTCTGAGGCCAAGTCCAGTACATCACTAGGACAGGCACACTTATGGAGTCTGTTAAAGAACTGTTCATTTTGATCCAGCACTGCCTTCACTCCAAAGCTCTGTGCATCACCGTCCAATTTCTCCATTTCCAAGGAGCTCTGCGGAGCCTGCTCGCTCACCGCAACCCCTCTACTCTTTTCCTGCTGTGCTTCATCACCTGTGCTGAAAACATCTGCTTTTTGAGACAGAAATCGAAGAGGCGATCCATGTAGAGAGGGAAAAGTATTTAGAAACAACTTCCTGCAGTTCACATTCTCCAGGCGATCCCTATGCCTGCTGCTCCATACAACACGCCCGCTTGTAGGAGCTGACGGTCTGGGCCCGGGGCTGCACCTGCACAAGTACCTGACTGCCTTCAGCAGGTAACCCATCTTAGCATTTATTTTTGTCAGCGTCTCACACATGGATGTGAAACGCTCGCTCAAGATCAGGGATCTGAAGAAATCCTACCATTGGAAACTGGCCTGGAAAAAGAACATAAAGACATTTACATAAGTCAAGTGGAACTGATATGCAACAGATTTGTGGTCTCTTAAGTAATATTGCCATAGAAAAACATGTAAAAGCAGCAGCTGGGAACGGATCTGCAGAGGATTTTATTGGGCTTCCCTCACGCCGGGCGCCACCTTTTCCTCCGATCGATGCTGCGACCAAAGCCACCTCGCCGGGAGAGAGAACCTCCTCCCACCGCCTGCCCCGCAGGCCGGCCCGCTCCCTGACGGGGCTCCGGGTCCGCTCGCTGCCTGCTCGGCAGAGCCTGCCCGGGGCGGCCAGGCCGCCGTGCAAAGCCCCGCTGCCGCGCAGGCCGAGCGGCCCCCTGCCGGCTCCCCGCGGACGGGGGCTGTGCGGCTCGCGACACGCGCGCGTGACTGCAGAGGACCGCGCTCCGCCGCCCAGGAGCACTTACCTCGCTCTCCAAGGCGCCATAACACCCAGCCGCCCTTCGCGCGTGCGCCCTGAGCGAGCCTCGCGAGAGGGACGGCGCGAGCCGAGGGACAAACGGTTGCGGCGCGTTGCCGCGCGACGGCAAACCGACCGTTAGGAGCGGCGCGTGCATGGCCAAGCTGGTGCTGGCGGGTGAGGCGGCCGTTGGGCGCTGTGTGGGGCTGTGGCGGCTGCTCCTCTCAGCCGGCTCTGCCGCCTTTCGCGCCTTCGCTCTGTCTTGAGCGTGGCGTCTGTCCGTCACGCCGCCGCTGCCGCTTTCGAGTCAGCTCTGTCACCCTCACTCCATCGGGAAGCTTCTCTCTCTGCCATGCTCCCCTTCGCTCGTCCGGCGAAGCACCGCTTAGGCGTTGGCCGAAACACTCTTGCTGAACTGAGCAGGAGTTTGGCCTCTGAAATTACCCTTTCTTTGCTGGTAATTTGCTTGCCCTGACGCTTCAGAAAGTTCCCAGAGGAACTCGTGTGATACCGTTCACGCAGGCTCTGTGCCAACAGGGAGCAATTCAAAGAGCGTCTGACTCGTTGGTATCACGGAGCCTTCCCTTAGCCGTGCCGTTGCTGCTCCCACAGGTAGGGCAGGCTGCCCGCAGTACGCCAGAGCCGAGCTCCTGGCCGACTACCTCCAGGCTAACCTGCCGGCCTTCAGCGTGCACAAGGTGGTTCAGCACCCCGACAGGTGGGAGGTAAGGAGCGCAGATCCAGCCGTAGAGCCCGGCACTCCGCGGGGAAGGAGCGCGCTCACCTCCAGTGGGTCTCTCTGTCCCGCGTTAGCGCCTGGGTAGGCGAGCACAGGTGCTGCAGAGCATTGGCTGTGAGTGCCAGCATGAGGGAAAGTTTGGATGCTGTGAGTCTGGCGTTTTTGTCAGTCTTACCATGGGATAGGGGCCTAAGGTGAGAGTCGTGTGAAACTGTGTTTAGTTGATAGGAAGTACAGATAGTTACAGTATGGACAGGCCTCTCCTGTACTCGATGGAGTACTTTGCTGTATGCCCAATTGTTCATTCTACTTGAAGCCAATTTTACATATTGCTGCATCTGCAGTGTGGTCCCTATAAAAAACTGGAAAAAAAAATGCAGTATTACTTAAGAAGACAGATGGTACTGTGATGTTTTTACCCATTATACTTTGCGTGACACCTCAGCCAAGTAACTCAAATAGTAAAGTGAATAGCAGTTAACCTCTGCAGCCTACTTACCACCCACAGAGGTTACCTTCTTACTTTCTTAAGGAATCCTGAGATTCCTTGTTGATTTGCAACATTTCTGTGTTCAATATCACTAAGAGAATAGAGCAGAATTACAGCAGTAAAACCAGGAGGAAATTACTAAGAAGTTGCTTATTTTGCTCTGTTGCTGGAATATTGTGGTATGTCTGTGTAACTTGCTGTGCACGTCAGTGTAACTTTGTGTCAGTCTGCTTTTTTTTTGCTCACTGTTACGTGGATAAGTTTTAAATGCTTGGTAATTATGTATTGAGAGGGAATAATATTTATAGCTGTAACATATAAGTGTTAATATGTGAACAAATATTAAAACCTTCTGGGGTGATGTTTGCATTAGCAGTGGCTTCATGATGTTTGTGAAATGAATGGATGGGAGCACAAATGGTCTCCAATCATTTGGAGAGAACTGTTGGACCGTGGAGGCAAGGGTCTGCTTCTGGGAGGACTTAATGAATTTCTGGAACATGCTCAGGTAATGAGCAACTCTTAATACAGTAAGCCCATCATTTACATCTTCTTACAACATTGCTGATATTTATTCCTCCTTCAAATGTAAAATAAAGCTATCTTTTCCAGTGTTCCCTTACTGTGTTTGAGCTGTCATTTGATTAGAGAATGTCTGTTTTTGTTCCTAGAACTATTACGGCATCACCTCAATGATGCTGACTGAGGAAATGTTAGAGATTGCTGAGGAGAATCTGCAAGCACACATAGAATCTGAAAAAGAGCAGGAAGAGATTAGAAGTCTTATCAACCCTTTGCAGATCTGGATCACCAGGTTAGAGTAGTAAAAAGAGTATAATTTTCACTCAGTTTCAGAAGAATGCAATTTTTCTTATCACATGAGATATAACCAGCCGAGGTTATACATGAATCCATGTGATTTGCTGATTTGAATTAGATCCTGCATCCCTCGCTATGAGCATTTAATGTATGAATTGAAAAGTATTTCTGTTTTAGTTGCATTTTGTTCCAGTATAAGTAGCTGATGTGAACAGGTGTCAGTGAGCCCCCTAGAGCACCTTGTGGAAAAGCAATTATTTACAAAATAAGCTGTAGTGCAAATATTTTACATTAAATAATTTTTGAAATATTTAAATAGTCTTTTGCAGTTCTAGCTATAGAAATATATGTATTTCCCGTAGTCCTATCAAAAATATCCAAGAGATACCTTAAAAAAAAACACGTTTAAAATCATAGTTCTTTAGTGACATTTTTAAATGACAGCATCACTTGAAATGCATAGGATGAAAAACCTTTAAATGAAAGAGCATCCCAGATTTTTAATTTTAAGATGTTAAAATGGGAGCGCAATAAAGGATCCAAGCGAGTTATCTTTTTAAACATAATCAAATGCAAAGACAAGATCTTTGTGCTTACTGATGTAACACTTCTGTACAAGCAGTGTACAGTGGTTAACTATAATTTGTCCGTATCCTTCTTTTGTCAGTGCATCAGCTCCAACCTGCTATCAGCTTATCCCTCTGCTGGCAAGTGGTGATGTGTTTGGAATGACCACGGAAATCAGTATCCACTTGCTTGATGCTGTCCAGTTTAAGGAATATCTTTCTGGTGTTGTGATGGAAGTTGAAGACATGGCATTCCCACTTCTCCGTGATATTTCAGGGCACACTGAGATAGATAAGGCTTTTCTTCAAGCTGATGTTATCGTTGTTCTTGATGATATCGTTTTAGAAAGAGACACCCAGACCCTTGAGGACTGCATTAGAACAGTGAGTGAGATCTGTCAAGTGTATGCTCCCCTGATTGAGAAGAATGCCAAGAGTGGAGTCAGAATAATTTCTACGGGAAAAACCTTTGTAAACCTTAAGGCAATGATGATTATCACGTACGGCCCATCCATTAAGCCTGAAAATGTCATTGCTGTTGCAACATCCTGGGAAAGTGCATCTAAAGCCATGCTAGCCAGGAAGCTGAATATGAGTACAGCAGGTGAGTATTTGTGTGTTCTGGGAGCATTTGGGGAATCCAGTGGATAGACATGCTGAGAGCACATACTTCATAGAACAGTACAGTTGATGTACGTGCAGAAATGCAAGCACAGCAGTGCACCCATTGAATTGCACAGCTGTACAGAATGCCAGGGTGTGACTAGCAGGTGCTACTGTTCTCTTTGCTTACTGCTATCTGAATCTCTGCCTGATCCCATAAAAATTACTTTTCTTGCCAACTCTTGTGCATTGCCTGTCTAGTCTTATGTCTCTTCTATGTTGGAATATACTAAGCTGGATTGAGCCATGTGGCAGATGAGGACCTAGAACTTGCAATCACATTTATACTGAGCAGCATGTTATTTTGGAGAGACACAAACTAGCTGTGAATAAGCATGACAGCATGCTTCTGTGTGGATAACAAGAGTGAGGGAAATTTGTGCTATAGCATTATTTCTGGGTTAATTGGTTTTCTTTCTCAGATTAGTTGTCATAACTTGGTCATATTCACAGAGTTCTGGACAGCACAGCAGGGCTGTGTTCCAACTGTCTGGTCAGCATCAAGATCCTCTCAAGCGCTGCAATGGAAGGAACTGGTAGTCAACAACAGTGACATTTGGGAGCCTGATAATACAGAAAAAGAAGTTAGGCAGAATTGTCTATCAACAGTTTATTTCAGAAATTCATTTTGTACCAAAGCTATAACATTTTTGAAATATTTGTAATAGATTTCTTTTGAACGGTCTGTATTTGCTTGTACAGAACTTTAAATGGAAGGTTGTTCTGTATTTGTAACATGATTTGTTTTGTTTTCTAACACAAAAATATTTACTAACTTTTGTTTATTTTATGTAATAACATGATATTAATTAAAGTCCCATTACTGATTATGATGAGGTTTCATATTATGTTATGGAGAACTTTGATGTGATTTTCAGACGAAAACATTTTTGCTATTTAAGGCAGAACACTGAAATGAAAAATAGTTTATTTTCAACTGGACTTCCAGAATTCATCCAGGTCAACCAATACTGTGAAAATATTTGTCTTTCTCCTTGTTAATCTGTATATTTTCCTCTGTTGCAGGTGTTAAAGATGTGATTGTTTGGGGCAACATTTCTGGCTGTATCTACATTGATTTGTCACATGCAAAGCTTTACAGATGTGACAGTGCTGTTTGGGGCCCAGCTAATTTTTCACGTCCTTTGTTGAATTTGATTTACGATAGGTATGTGCAGGACAGATTTGTTTTTTAAAGTAAAATTAAATAACTTCTTTACATCTGAGATTATCTGAACTTTTTAATGAACATCAAGAAATATGATTGTTTTCAAGATTTGTCTTTGACTAGCACTGTACATAAAGGAAAACTTGAGCTGAAGTACTAAGTTTGCAAAAGAAGTTGAGTAGTTCCTCCTCCTATACATAGGACTGATTCCTCTGCCAACTTTGTTTAGAACTATGTATTCCTACATAGTAGGCTTCCAGAAATACTGAAAAGCCAGATAGTGAATGGGATGTCTGGTATGCATGAAAAGACTTTGAAACAATGCTAAGCATGTACCTGCATCTTGTATCTGAATTACATTGAATTTATGGCCTAAGGGAACTGATGTTGTCAATTTCCCATAAGATTTGTTAATGTGTGTTAGAGGGATGCATGACATCTAAATAGCTTCTAGAGAAAAGAGAAATAGCAGAGAAAGGATGTTTGGAGTGAGAGGACAGCTGATGTTACAAGTACTCAGGCCTGGATTTGCAGGGCTCCTACTCTGGTGTAAGCCCTCCAGCATTTACAGGGTAGCAGATATTTCTTTTGTTCTTTACTGGTACTGTGCCAAGCAGGGATTGTGGTGCATGGCTGGATTCTTACATAAGACAGTAACAGATATAAATAGTAATTATAATAGAGGTCATAACTTGAGTAAATGACCTTTCACAGACAAATAATCCTTGTTGTCACCTCTTCAGCCGTTTTTTACTCATTTTCTGCCTTCAAGTGCTTTGCCTTCAGCAAAGCCTGAATAAACTGTAACTGTTATCTTCACTTAATTCTAGTTCTGTTGTTCTATTCTTCCTATAGTCATCTCAGGGCTTCCCTCCCACCCTTCTTTTTGTTGTCAGCAAATGGATCAATTCAGAATTTATGTCTGCACAGAGTTCCCGTGTCTGCCATTGTGCAGGAGTATTACTTGCTCATGCAGTAGCCACTGCACTAAGATACTGGTTTCATGGTTCTCCTCCTGGAGAGATTGTTTCTATGGGAATATTTAGTGAAGGTAAGTCTACTTTTGCTTCACGTAATCTTTAATAGCTTCCTTGTAGCCTTCCCCAATTTCTGTGTGATTTTTTATTGATCTTTTTTTCTTAAATGTAATTAAAAAAAATCATTGTATCATTGGAAATTGAGAATTTTTTTCACTATGATAGCCTGCAAATCTACACAATTATGCTATCTTGAGCTCGTGATTTGATATTCATTTCTTAAAAGTGTCTCTTAGGTTGGTAGTATCTTGTTGGAGATTGTCATTTAGTCTTTTAAATGATTTTTTCATGTATGTGGTTTGTGCGTGGAATCTTTGTAATTGTTAGAGCTAAAGGTACAAAAGCATGCTCTTCTTGTGAAAATATGTGGGCCAATAAATGGAGTATTACGCTACTTTAAGCCATTTAAACCTTGTATGAAAGAAAGGATTTACACTTTTTAAAATGTAAAATTGTTATGTGTCCATCAAACTAAAATTCAGAATTACAGTCAAAGGGAAGCCCTTTAGTCTTTGAATTGTGCAGTCAGTCTCTGTACTGAGATCTTGCACAGTTACAAACTTCTGCAAATTCGTAGGGCTTAATCTTGACATTGCTGAAAATGTGGTTTATGATCATAAATAATATGTCTGGGCAATTTTTCCTTCTCTGCAGGTCAGTTTTGCATTCCTGAAGGGATTGTCTTCTCTATGCCTGTGAGGTTCCAGAATGGTAGCTGGGAAGTTGTAACAGAATTAGAAATTAGTGAAAAAACACGGGAAGTTCTGGGACGCTTATCCTATGATCTGATACAGGTAATGATTTTGTGCATCTGATGGTATGATGCCCATTCTGCTGCCTATGGGCACATTGCAGTGTAACTTGGACTACTGAGACTCTTATTGCAGATGTTAGGCATATGCAAACTGTGCACTAGAGCTCATGTGTGTAAAACAGTATTAAAAAAGATAAGGTAGTATTTTTGTATTGAGATGAATAGAATATTGTTCTGCTCCCCAAAACGGAGTCGATAAAATAAGTTTACGTATGGAAATATAAAATTTGCACTCCAACATTCTGCAGGCTTTGTACAAACTGAAAAGTTAGCTTTAAAGCTTTTACATTCTGTGGTGCTGATTTTAATTTTGTGTTCTCAGAGTGGTTCTGTGCCAAGAAACGTGTCTTTTGGGAAGCTTGTGGCTGTGACTCTCGATGAATGAAGGCCAGAAATTATTATGAAGAGGGATTTTTCAGTAAATACAGAATCAGCAAGCAGTAATTTCATCATTAGCTATTTGTCATTTAGTGAGACAGAAAGAATTTAATTTGGTTAAGTATTAAAGTATAAAAAGGACTGGTCCCAGATTCCACATCCTACCATCAATACAGTATTTGTCATCTTGAGTCACAGTGGTTTATATGTGCCTATTATCTTCGTTTGAACATATTTTAATTTTGTGTGAGACACTGCAGTGCACCACGATTAGGGGGCATTAAAGCTGTTCTTTTTTTTTTTATTCAGGAAAAGCGCATTGCACTAAAGGAAATAAAAGAAATGCATCCTTACGGAGCTGAGAAAATCACTGCTAAAAAAGATTTGTGTCAAGGTGGGTTTTCTTCCCCGTAAGAGACAACACCGAGTTTTAAGTGAGAATTTAAGTCATGGATTGTTATTTTATGTCCCTTTCCTTTAAACTGAATATAAAATTGTTCAAGGAGGAACATAAATAGCAAGTGCTTGTCTGATAAATCCTGAACATGCCGCAGGAAGTCTGCATGGCAGATGCCTTATTTTTATAAATTTCTTTCATGTCATTCACAGATAATGAATATAAAAACTGAGCATGAATAATACATTTAGGATAAAAGTACTAGGGTTTTTTTCCAACGTAGAGTGAATATAATATATTTTATTTTAGATTATTATTAAATAGAACATCTTTTTAAACTATGTAACTGTTATAAGAAAAGTACTTTCAGCATATAACCAACTAAAGGTTTTTGAGGCAATTCTTTACTATTCTTTATCCTCCAGGAATAAAGTTGAATTTCTAACAAAGAAAAAAAAAAAAGCAAATTGGAAATCAAACTCCTCATTTTTCTGCTTATTGTAATTCATTTAATATTTGTGATCTATAAGATAGCCAGAATGAGAAAAAATTGAGACACCCAAAGAGCGCAGACTTTAAAAAAAAACCAAGGGATTCTTTATTGCTACAAAGAAGGCAATGTCAGATGCCAGTAAGGAGCACTCACATCTGTCACTTCTTCCAATTACGATAGGTGAAAGATCTGTTCAAGATCGCTACATTTTAAATTATTTACCCATTTTGCCTCACTAACGAGATGCCAGTTTTATCATTAATTAATTTTACAATACACAATGATACAACAAGTTTCAACTAAAAACCTGTTGAACAACTCCAGTATCCATTGCTAAGATTAGGAGCAGAGAGAAGTCTGCCATAGGTACAGCTTTGGCAAAACTCCCTGCTTTTCCCATGCAGAATAACGGGAATAATTTCTCCTATGTCTTTGGTGCTGCTTTTCAATTGTCAGTCATCTTAAGAATGTGTAAAGGAAAGCATAATTGATCTCATTAATCTCAGTAATCAAAATAAAAACAGATTACAGTACAGTTTTTTTTATATTTCTTTTTCTTGTATCTCTTCTACCTTTGATATCCCATTTGTGCCTTTTGTCCTTTTATGCAAATAAGATGTTTCTGTGCTTATCCCTGACCTTTTGTATTATCCTTATGTATTCCTTCTAGCTTGCATAGTTTGGATTATTTTTCATTTCAACATAACTTTTATTGCCTTTATGATCAGGTTCCCAAACATAACGATTCCATACATTTTCCCAGGCTCTCCCTCTTGTACTAGCCATTTCTTTCTACATCCAAATCCCACTGCCCTTTTTCCTTTAGAATTCTTTCCAATACTTCAGTTCCTACACTTTGCACGTGTTATCTACCTACCCTGTGGTCGAATGCATTACGGGACAGGGTAAATAACGGGGCAGCTATTTGAGGCTGATGCACAGAGCCCTTAGTGAGCACATCAGCCTTTCTGTTATCCATGCTCTTTTCTCAGAAAAGAGCTATAGACACAAGATAATTTTCCTGATAAATACAGAATTTATTTATTCTTCTAGTTATTGTAATTTTGATTAACCCAGACAGATGATTCCCAGTTAGACAGGAGAGTCCTCCTCTCTGCTGTCTACTTGTGTGGCACTCCTTTTCTAGAGCAGCCCTGTTCCTGTAGTTGTTTTAAATACTAAGTGAGTCACTCCACTGCTGGCAACTAACAGTTTAGTTCTTACTTTTCTGATATTAGCATCAAGGGCCAAAAATTATCTAAGCTTATCTCCCTGCAAGTTTAACTCTTTTTGGAAATCAGCAAAAATATGTACTGCTTTTGCTTTATGTTTTTACAGAGATGGAAGCTTGTCCTACTGGCTCAGTTTAGCAAGAGTTGTCTTCAAGAGAAAATGGTGAAAATTCCCATGCTAAAACAATGTTTCTATTGTTTGAAACAGTAAACTAGAAAGAAATGTTAAGTGTTGTCATAGCTTTTATTGTGCTTCATCCAAATCTTGGAAATCAGTCGGTGGAAAATATCTCAAGAAAAGAATAAATATAAGTCTTAATCTAGAGACCAAAGAAAAACATTCACTCAATGTGTCTAGAATTTAATTTATGCCCAACTTCTTCAGATGAATGAACTGTTTAGAAAAAAACTCTTTCATGTCTGAAATGTTCATATTAGTATGACTTTCAGCAATGCTTCACACAGCAGTGGTTACAAAATTCCAAATTCCTGCCTCTTATGGTGATTGCAGATTATGATAAACATCTCCAATGTGAGAATGTTTATTCTTAGGCAAGATTGATTTTTAACACAACAGTTTAACTGCGTGCATCTTCTTGGTGACAAGATCATTTTTATTTCTATTATTCTATTTCATTAGTTTCATAGAGACTGCTCATACATTTCAAGTCAGACATACCATTGACTAGCTCCTTGTCTAGACCAGGTTGTTGAGGAACTGCTTTAATTTTCAGGTCTTCAGTATCTCAAAAGATGGGGACTATGATAAATGAACGATGATTGTACTTGCTAATTTTTTATCAGCTGCGAATGTTAAAAGCAAAATAAAAAGTTTTCTATTCCTTGAATGGAACTCATGCAATTGGAATAACACATTTTTTCTGTTCAAGTGGACCTTCAAACTCTTAGCAGGGATAGCCTTCATCTTACATGAGGAAATCAAGAGGAGTTTATGTTCTTAGCTGGTGAATGAGGAGTTCATAGAAAAATGAGCTTGGGAAACCTGGATTTCACAGGAGAGATGGAAGCGAGAGTGTAGTTTCTTACACAAAATATATACGGGAGAAGCAAGGTTTCACTGATACAATCATCTTCATGGATAAGTTCACCTGGAAGTTGTAGAGGCAGGAGTTGTAAGAAGTTTGAAGTAGAGGGCTAGGAATCATTAATTTCATGTGGAAATGCTCTCTAGAGAATTAGTTTCTAGAACTGTGTGCATAGAAAATTGGTTGAATCTGTGGGAGAATCTGGAGCCAGGTGTCTTGGCAGACTATAGGAGAGAAGGATGCTATCAGTAGTTTTTACAAACTGCGCTTGATTTGTTTCTTATTCTAAGACTGGAACTTCTGTAAAATGTATTTAAATTTATGTTTTTCTATATGGAATATGATCTTATAGTCTTTTTAATATTTGAATTCTTTTACTCCTCCTGTCGAGGTAGCAGTTCAAACTATGCATTTCAAGCACAAACAATACACAGCTGTTAATGAGAAATATATTGCAGAAATGTTTTGTTTCTATGCAGACTTACTGGGCTTCTGAGTTACTGCCTGTGAACCATAAAGAATTTCACTTCAGTGTTTTAGAGGAGAATGAGAAAACAATGTCTTGGATGTCTCTTATATCCAAAATTATTCTAATTAATAGTTATGAACTAATTTGCAGTAATTAATTAGTGGCCTGCAAGGAAATTCAGATCTTTAGTCGGGGAAACATAACAGAATGGAAACTGAAGTTTCTTGTCCTTTTCTTGGGGCTGTATGAAAGAATAAATATAATAAGAAAGGTAAAATATGATAATATATTCAAAGTTGATTGTATCATGTTAAACCTAGTCATATATTGACAAATGTGGGTTTTCTATAAGTAGTAAGTAATTCCTTGTGCATGTTTTCTCAGAAGTTACTGCTGGGGCTCTGTATGCAGGGAATTCATAGCTTTGATGAATTCTATATTGAGAAATGTGTTCCATAGTGAGAAACATGAAAATTGCCTTTAAGTTAAATGGATATATCTAAAAAATGTTATATATATTCTCCATATTTCGATCTGCTGAAGAGAGTGTAAGCTTCCTGTGTAATTGGAACATTCCTTATTGTAGGACATTAGCACTAGAGCTTACTATTTTTTCTCTTTGTTGTTGCACCAACTGTTACAGCCCTTTTGCTGCCTTAGTGTTCCAGCTTCCACCTTTTTTTTCCTCTCTATAGCAACACTGTTTCTCAGCAACTGGGAGATGCTTCGCAAAGACCCCTCAGTTGAAAAACATTGCATTCCAATGATAAGAAAAACTGGCTTTGAAACAAAGATCAGAGAAGCTTTATCTTGAATTATTGAAGATATTTATTACTAATTAATTAGTGTTTTCTGTTTTGACTGCTTAGACAATTACCTGATGCTTTGATCTGAGCTGTTGCTAGGCAATTGTTGAGAACAGCATTCATTTAAAAGCAAAACCTTTAGAACTATGTCTTGAAGTCAACTTCTAAGTGCTACAAAACTACTGGACTTCTCTGAAGGTGTTTTGTGACCTATGGGCTTTTAGCAGCTAGCTGAGATAAAGGTGAGCGCTGTTACTCTATTTACAAGGAGACGGTAATCTCAGGCTTTGAACACAACATGGAATGTTTTCACCCTTTTAAGGAAACAGAAGTAATTGTACTTTATTTTATACATATTTAAAATGTTGCTCATACATTGTCTGACTCATTTCAAAAGAAGAAAGGCTTCTGTGAGCAAGTCAATTGATCTGTTGAGGGATTTCTGCTTTACTTGATCTGATTTGTCTTTTCCTGTATTTTAACTTACTTGTGCATTAAGTTTAAAAATGCATTTTATTTGCCAAACAATATATTCTGAGAATTTGTATAGACATACAAAATACATGTAGGTGGTTAAAGCATATTACTTTTCTTGCACTTTACACAAAGGTGCCAGAATAAGGCTACTGTTGTTCTGCACTTTACAATAGTTGGGTTAATGGGATTAGAATGTATAATTATAGAACTTCTTTCTGTACATTTGTAACTAGTTTTATAATTCTTTTTTGTTTTGTGGAATTGCTCTTACTATTAGTAAAGGGCACATACATCCAAAAACACTGGTTGAAATAGTTATCAGTGAGCATTATTAATTCAGGTGTGATGTTTTACTAGATGGATGATCTTTTTCCTTCATATTGTATTCATTATGAGGTAGATAAGCTAACAGTGGAGTAGATCCCACTCCTTTCAGCTACACAGTCCTACTGCAAGGAGCTGGCCTGTCTGACGTTACGATGTTGCATCATGACCACTAGTTGAGTAAAACACTTAAGCAGGTACGTAACTTTGATACCTTCCTTGAGGACCACAGTTCAGATGTATAATGTATTTATCCACATGAGTAATTTATAGGGTAAGCATTTCACTGCATGGAGAGCTCGTTATCCTACCTAAGTATCAAGTGCTAATATATTATGCACACTGTTAAACTCAGTGAAGCCAATGGAGCTGCTCTTATTAGAGTAAGCTGAATTCTAATATAGGTGAGTTTAGCCTGTGCATTTTTATATTCATCTTGTTTTATTTTACATACCTTTGGTGGAGAGACAAAAGGAAGAAAAAAGAGGCAAGTTCTGTTTTTGTACATCTGTCATTTACCAAACATGTAGAGTTTAAGTTGCTACATGTGGCTTGTATTTAATTCACTGCTTAGGATCTTCTGATTTCAGTGATTTCTATAAATTGATTTTTCTGTCAAAGTACATGGACATATATAATGCTGCGCCTGTTTAGGAGTAATTGCATAAGCAAAATTGCGTGCCTATGTAAATGTTGGGCAGAACTGCAATCTTGCAGAACTCAAGGTTGAATCCAAGCTGTAAATCTTGCTAAGGGAAGAAAACAGTGATGCTGAAAAAGGAACAGTGGTGTTTCTTTCAAAGAGGAACTTCAATAAAAATGGAGGCATTGTACTCTATAATGAGGAAGTAAAGCAAGTCTGAATCCCATTATTTTAAATATTTATAGGTTATTTAGAGTCTGAAACACAAAGTTGCAACTTTTACCAGTTACAATGCTGAACAATTTATTTACGATAAATATAATAATCATAGATGAATGAATTTTTATGCTTCATAATTGGCCAATATTCTATCATGCTTCTGGTAAATGATCAGTGACTCACTGCAAAAATGTCAAGAAATGTAAAGCAGTGAAAGCTTGGGTAAGTTTTGTTTTAATACCGAATTTATTGTTTAGTCTTCAGATATTTTCAATTATTTAATTTTTTATTTCTACTGAATTTCCATTTCTTTTCTACTGTAATCTATATAAATAAATAAATGTGTGTGTGTGTGTGTGTGTGTGTGTGTGTGTGTGTGTATACAGCCTTTAGAATCTTTGGTAACTTAGACCTGTTAAATTACACCTAGTGTTTTTCAAATGTAACGTTAGCTGACAGATATACCAAATATATACCAGATATACCAAATCCTATACCAAATTCAAATTTATATTATTATGTTTAAAAATAAAATTTATATTATTATGTTTAAAAATAAAAATATATTATTATGTTTAAAAATAAAAAAAAATATATTATTATGTTTAAAAAAAAAAAAATAGTTTAAAGTGTTAAAGACATAAGTTCTGACAGGAGAATTTGTTTCTGTTATCATCAGTGACACAACTACTTTTGCATTCAGGGATATGTTTGGAAGCAGATTCATGTTTAAGCTTCCTTTTTAATTTCCTTCTGAGGTCAAAGAAGGAATACTGTCAGCTAACCTGAACACTTCGGTTTGAAAATTTTAGAATATAGACTTGCAAGCAATTGCAATCACTGAATTTCGAGAGCAGTCTGGTGTAAAGGTATACTGTAGCTATCTTGAAATCATACAGTGTGGACAATGTGGTACTCTTTTACGTAAACGCTGGACTCCTGAATAGTTAAAGATCTCATTTCCTGTTCTTCAACTGCTTTGGGAACAGTTTTCTCCTTCATGCAATTTTGCAGTTAATGCGGTTGCCCCTACTTTATCCCAGGCAGAGATCATGCAAATTTCTGGTGTTTCTCCACACCTGACACCGAATCTACTATGTTGTTTTATATAATTCTGTTTAACTTCATCTATGAAATGCATTTAGTAATTTTTTCAGATTGTTAGGTTTGATTGGGATGGTTCAACATGCCTCAATAATGTGATTTTGCACTTTGATTTGTTTCATTATAGAATGTCTAATGCCATCTGCCCACTTAAAATGAATCCAGACTTGCAGGGTAAGGATTTTTCTCAATTGTTACCAACTTTTCTCGAAAGATGTTTCTGTATCTGTTTACAAGGAAACTACTGAATTGTAATGAAGTCACACAATTCTCAGGATCTCTGTGCTACAAAACTTAATTGACAAATTACACAGCTGTTTTGCCATGCCTTCTTTTAGATCTGTCATGGCACCTTCCCTGCCGTTACCACCTTGATTCATGCAATGATCAAGCATGCAAGGGTTGTGTTTCTGAATTTACAATATAAGTCTTTTTTCACATGTTCTAGAATAGGATGTCTATACACTCCCATTTTAAGTATAAAATTGTAGGTGATATTTCACCTGCTACACAGCCAGTAGTGCACAATACAAAAGAAAAAGTAACCAGCTGCAGATGTCCTGTACATGCAGAAATTCTTTTGTCAGCATCTCAACAAAAGGCATTTACAGGTCTTGAGTTAAAATTCTCAGAACTCTCTGCAGAATGATTGCATGCTGGTTTTCTGCCCAAGGGGAAAGTTCCATCCCTATGAGAAATGAGTTTAATTGTTCTGCCAAGTAGTCTCTCATAAATAATTAGCCTGATATATTTTATATATACATACATTTTTATGTATTTATTTATTTTTACTGTTGATTTGTATGCTCATGCAAGTTAATTCTGAACTATTGCTTGACTGACACAAAATGCCCTGCTATGATACTAGATATTGCCTACCAGAATGAATTTGAACTACAGATATAGTGAAAACAAGTTCATAGCAAATGGCTGTTAAAACAGATTCTCCTTATTTAGAAAGCCATCTTGCATGTGGAAAGTATTTAAGATGGATTATGTATGTTTCTAATGTTTCTAAGTAAGAAAATAAACATTTGGGGCTTACTGAATAGTCCACTGAAAACTCTGGGAATCAGTATTTCTTTCAAAAAACCTTTGGATCACATTACTAAGAAAGAGAACTGATACTGCATGGAAGTAAAAACTCATTTTTCACACTGTAAGACATGCTACTCTAGATCTTGAAATAGTACCGTGAAACATAATGTGACAAGAGCAGGAGTAGACAGATGGTATGGCAGATAGGGCTTATTTCTATCTCCTGCTTCTGGGAACCAGCAGAGCCCATAATTTGCTGACTATTAACATTAGTCTGCAACACTTGTGTGGAACCATTGCACACAGATTGGCCCATTTCCATACTAAACAGATAGAGAGTAAAATGAATTATTTCTACCTGCCCGGTTATGCATGTTATTTGTTGCTTATGCTTTTGTGATCAAGACCTTTTCTTTTTCTTTTTTTTTTTTTTTTTTCTTTTTTTGTCGTGCAGCTCTAGATATGTGTAAAGTAACAGGTGTAAGTCAAGTTCTGAAACCCTTACTTTCCACACAGAAAATCATCCTTTAGTGATGTGAAATGGATGGCCTGAAATAATGCAAGGGCATAGGATTTAGTTGAGAAACTTGAGTGAAATTACTAAGCAGAGATGTCAAAAGCTAGTTGCCCTGCTAAACTGCTTATAATACAGTTCCAGATGTTGGTCTTGGCAGAAAATTTGTTTAATGCTTGGGAAAAAAAAAAAGGCATCCAGAACAATAACTCTGCTGTACAGACTGACAAACTGTTCCATGTAGAAAAGCATCTCTACTCTGACCAAGAATGTGTTTTGCCTGTTTCAGTATGATCTTACCTAAAAGTACATGTACTGCATATCCGTTTTTCAGACTTAATTCCTGAAGAAGCAGATGTGCTTTGTCTGTTAAATACAGTTTTTCCGACCCATCATGCCACTGGCAGTAAGACGATTTTCCTTACAAAGCTATGGGAAAAATAAAAAGTGCTTTCATTTTTATCAAAATTTGTCAGAATTTTCCTTGAAAAAGGTGTTGTGGGTTTTGACCAAGTCAAAATTAGGTTCAGTTTTTTTTTTTTTTTTTTTTTTTTTTTGTGTGTGTGTGTGTGTGTGTTTTGGTTTGGTTTTGTAATTATCTACTCTATTATTTTTTTTCAGAGGCTTTCAGTGACATTCAGAGCTCCGTCTACAGAACAGCCCTAAAACTACGCTCACTACAAAGTCTGTGCCAGTGTTAGTAGATGAAGAAAATTATGTGCTTTTACGGCAAGAGGAATGTGTAAAAATTCTGTGTTGCTGCCACCATGAGTTATTACATTACTTTCCTCTCTCATTTTCCACCTGAAAAATTCAGAGTGCGTTATAAATGCTTAAGAGCTAGATAGTTTTTTGTATCAGTCTTCTCCCTATTTGAATATACATTGGAGTATATTAGTAAATTCTAAATGCATGAGAGAACTAAGGTGCTATTTCTATCTACGTTGTTATATAGACATCACTGGCAATTAATGAATCTTTATCTATATATTATCTGTAGGAGTTGAATTATTGGAAGTAATCATAGATAATCAGAAATGTGTATACAGGCACTAGAAGAATTAATGAGAATTACTGTACTACAACATTATAAATATTATAATGTGCACATATTATAATGCTACAAGTATTAATGAGAAATGTTGTAAGTTTAATGAGAACAAACCAAAATATGATAGGTAGAAAACCCCAGCCTAGCACTCATTCTCCCTGCATTTGAAGAAATAATTCTGCGCAAGCAAATGGAACAAAGCCAGGGGCACCTAGCTTGCTTTCAGATAACTGGATCTAAATTCCATATTGAGGTAGAATACATGGAAATCTTGAATTTTCCAGTGTTAACAATCTGTTGCTGAAAATGTAGTTATTACAAGTCAAATGTTTAGGTCAAAAGATGTCTAGTTTGTGGTTGTGGCCATGTGTATTTGAGTAGGCTCTGTGAACATATTTGGCTGGATTTCAGCCCTGGCATGCTAAATCTGCCTGGTGCTGTGTCACAGCATGGAGGTACCAACTCACAGAGGCACTGGTTTTCATTAGCTCTATTGCTTAGACCTCCATGTTGCCGCAGCATTCATAGAAACTACTCCACTTACCCTCTTCCTTTAACACTGGTGACCAGAATTGCACACAGATGGAGCTTCACCACTGTCTCACACTGATACTTTCAGTCTTCACTGGAAAGACAATTGGTGACATATTCTAGGGTCTTCTCTCCTTCTTCAGCAGCCTTATTGTTTTGAGAGTGATGAGAGATGAATACATGCATACACTCCAATCATTCATTATTGATTCTAAATAATCGTGCTTCTGTTGTACTGGATGTGTCCTTTAAGCAGTCATAGCTCATTCTTCCCACTGGGTATTAGTTATGATACATTTTATAGTATAGCATATTAGCAACTTTCTTGGACAAAGTATCTTATTTCTCTTTGTATCTGGAATGAGAAGAAACACCACTCCAAAGTACACATTGATTCCACAGTCCTAATGGAACTTAATTTTGAAATACAAAATGGTGCATGAATTCGTAGTCTCTCTTTCTACATATATAATGAAATGTAGCTCTACAATTTAGTTGCAGTCACTGTGCTGTTTTCATTTATAATTTGCATGCAGTTCATTATGTTATTTTCCTTCCCCTCCTAACTATTTCAAAATTACCTCCAGAAAATTTTAGTTGAGCTGTTCTACTCTTACAGCCTCACAAGCTATGCTGTATCCCTAAACCCAGTGAGATCTTTTCCTGTTTGTTTGTTTTTTGGAGTCACATGCTGTGTTAGACTTAATTGTCTAGACTTACTTCAAGTAGGTACTTCTGATTAAAAAAGAGAGGTCCAGCTTCCACTCAAGAGAAAGCAGGAATCCTCATTTGTTTCTTCTTTTGTTTTCCCACAGTGGATTTGATCAGTGTTTCTCTAATTCAGCACGTTGTATCAAGTGAGCAGAGACAGAGAGAAAAGGAGATTTCTCTGAAAGTGCAGAGGCTCTCTGGAATGCTGAAGGAGCTGTTTGAAAGAGCAAGGTTAGAAAAGCCAGGCCAGGTAGATCCAAGAGCTGCTGAATTCACATTGAGCCTGCTAGAAGCCATGTATGACAGGTGAGAGAGAGCACAAATATAAATCCATCTTATGTCACTTCTGTATTAAACTCTACCATGATTATAGTATTTTCTTTAAGTTGTGCACAGTGTATTGAAGATACAGGAAGGTGGGGCACAAAACATTAGAAGAGAAACAGTACTAAGAAAATTCCAAAAAGTCCGGATGTCTGCCTGCCTATACTAGCTCC